CAAAACAGAATATGATTAAATATGATCAGGCTGGTGCATAGATCAGTGCCACACACTAGATTTTGGTGCATTTTGGTCTGTTAGAAGAAAGTGCCTCCCAATATAAAAAAAAAGACAAAAATAAGGGTTAATATGATGAAGGGATGGAATATGACTGTAAGGATGAAAATTATAAAAGATTTTATAAAAGGAATTGATAACATAAGAAGTTGGTTGGGGCGCCTGGGTGGTTCAGTCGTTGAGTGTCTGCCTTCGGCTCAGGTCATGGTTCCAGCGTCCTGGGATTGAGCCCCGCATCATGCTCCCTGTTCGGTGGGAAGCCTGCTTCTCCCTCTCCCATTCCCCCTGCTTGTGTTCCCTCTCTCACTGTGTCACTGTCAAATAAATAAATAAAATCTTAGGAAAAAAAAAAGTTGGTTGAAAAAAGAAAGAAGAGGATTTAAAAAAAAAAAAAGGGAGAGAATGTGATCAGGCAGGAGATTACAACAAAGCCATACGCTAGAGATTTAGGGTATATTTTGATCTGTTAGAAGAAAATGTATTCCAAAATTTTAAAGAGATAACTTAAATATTTATACCAAAAATAAGGGTAACTACTATGAAGGGGTAGAATATGACTCTAAAAATGAAAAATAAAAAAGATTTTTTTAAAAAAGGGATTGATAAGATGTTGGTTGAAAAAGGGAAAAAGAAAAATTAAAAAAAAAGACAGTTAAAAAAATTAACTTTCAAAGACTGTAAAGAATCATGGGAAAAAAAAGCCATGAATTCTATGTGCAGTATTCCCCTAGTGCTGGAGTTCTGCTGTTCTCATTGGTCGGTAAACTTGGTCTTGGCTGGCTGTTCTTGCTGATCTTCTGGGGCAGGGGCCTGTTGCCATGGTTCCCAAATGTCTTTGCCAGAGGCGGAATTGCCCTGCCCTTGCCGGTCCGGGATGAGTAATCTGCTCTGGTTTGCTTTCCGGAGCTTTTGTTCCCTGCAAGCTTTCGGTACAGCTTTGGAGGACTAGAGTGAGAATGGCGGCCTCCCAATCTCTGCCCTGGAGGAGCTGAGAACTTGGGGCCCCACTCCTCAGTGAGCCTCCAGAGTAAAGTAGTCAGTCACTCCCACCTCCCCGGTCTCCGGCCGCACTCCGTGCTCACTCGGCCTGTGACCCAGTGTTTCTATCTCTGGCACCAGACCCTGTGTGGAGTCTCCAGACCCAGCCGATTCCTGCCATGAGCTCCCGCACTGCTCCTCCCGGGGGAGGAAGGGGAGTCTCCCCGGACCTGCCGCTTGTTGGGTCCCTGCTGGAAGAGCAGTGGCCTGACTGTGCTGTGGATCACAGTTTATGGCAACCCCGAGCTGAGAGCCCACATCTCGGCTCTGTCTCTGCAGCCGGCTTTCTCGCTCCGATGCCTGAGAGCTCTGCCGCACTCAGGCACCCCCGGTCTTCCTGTTACCCCGAGGGTCCTGAGACCACACTGTCCCAGCGAGGGTTTCACCCCCCCCCAGCTTAGCCACTGGAGCGATGTCCCTCAGCGGAGCAGACTTCTAAAAGTTCTGATTTTGTGCTCTGCTGCTCTATCACTTGCCAGAAACGTTGAACAAAGGCCCCCTTCCCCGCTGTCTATCCTCCCAAATATCGCCTCGGATTCAGTTCTCCGCACGCATGTCCTACCATCCAGAAAGTGGTCGTTTTTCTGTCTGTACCATTTTATATTCCCACTAGTAGTGTACAGGAGTTCCACTTTCTCCTTGCCAACACTTGTTATTTTCCATTTTTCAAAAAATTACAACCATCTTATTAGGTGTGAAGTGGCATCTCATTGTGGTTTGATTTACATTTGAATTTGAACATTTTAAAAGATCTTTTCCAGTGAGAGAGGAAGACAGCTTAATATTACATGAAATGCCTCTTTGTTTGAAAAATCTAGACTAGGTCTTTATTTTACCTGCTAAAATAAAGCTACCCTAAAATCACCCTTCACTACACATAGATCCCAATTTTTTAGTCTTTGGTCTCTGCATTCTCCTCCTCTTTATTTCTTTTGAACTCTTTTCTGTTAGCCTACTCTAATTGTTAGGTCTTTACTTTTTACCACCCAATAATTAAGACAGCTGCCTATTCCGTACTTGCTAAGTTTCCTCTGTCACTCTCCACCATTAATTTTTAAGAATGACCTGTCCTGGGAAGCATTGTAACTATGGTTTCCTGTCTTTTGTTCTTGGCCCCTGATGCTGTGCTGCTTACCATCTGTGTGCTTGAAGGGCTCTGCATTCACAATACATGTTCATGGCTCCCACTGGAAGCTTTGTTTTTTTTTTCTTGTACAATGCCTTGGTCTTAAATCACAATGCTACATATATGTTTTTATCATTTGGCAAAAACTTCAGAAGAATATATTCAACATTTAAAAATCTTTCAGAAGTTGAAATGAAGCTTGCATTATTCAAAAATAGCTTTTTTTGGTTCAAAAATGGGAAAATGATCATAATGGAGTAATTTGATAGCTCTGAAGAGAAATAGAAATAGTTGAGCTAATTTCATTTTAGCAAGCCTCTGCTCTGTATTATTTTGATTATCTTCATTCATGAATATCCATTTTCCTCTTTTGAATAAACAAGCATTCAGGAGAACTGCTCTGTATGTTAATTTGGCTAGTCCATTCATTTATTCACAAAGGTTTTATTTCTTCCTAGGCCAGCTTGAGAGATCATCCGTGATAAATTTTTCTTTATAGGAAACATGTTTCAAGATGAGCAATATTTTAAAAGTATGTGTATATTGATTTATATCTTATTTATGACTGTCAATAGTTATGCCAGTTATCAGTAATTATATTTTTTCAGGACTTAAAAAATTTAGATTCATTTTGAGTATAGCTTATTTTTAAAAGTATTTTACTTTCATAGATACCTATTTTATGTTGACAGCTTTTTGACATTCATACCAGTGGCTTATTGGCAGAAATCCCTACAGGCCATCACAGCACCATCCAGTATTGTGACTTCTCCCCGCAAAATCATTTGGCAGTGGTGGCTTTGTCCCAGTGCTGTGTGGAGGTGAGTAGTTCACTTACTCTGTGAGGTTGTACCTCTGCCAAGAATGGGCTACTTAAACCATTAACTACTGAGAATGTTTGAGAAATAGTAGAGCATTTTCTTCACAGCATAATGACCTATAGCTTTAGAATATTAAACTATATAGCCAGCCTTATTACTTTAGCAGTGATTGAAGATTTGATTTGATAGTATGACAGGGAATGACAGTATCATTCAGCAAGTATTTGTTGAATGCCTAGCATGTGCCAAGGTCTGGGAAAACAGTGGAATGAACACTGGTTTCCTAGGTAGAAACATGGCATCTCTTAAACAATATGAAAGAAAGGATCTTCTATAAAAGAAAGGATGAGAGATGAGTCCAGTTCAGATTTCTTAGATCACTGAGAAGAAGAAGACAAAAGTTAATTTAGAATTGGTTAACCTAGGATGTTCATTGGTGAGCACTAATGAGTAAAATGACTCTTAAAAATTGCCTGTTAATATTTATAATTTTGTACTTACCTGATAGATTTTATATTCAGAATCTATACCTGACTGGTCCTGGAAGAATTTCACCCAGTGAATGGCTATATTAAGTTTTTTCAAAAAGCAGTGAACTGATGGTTTTTTTTTTTCAAAGATGGATTAGTTTTTCCAAGCTTTATTACTACTTATTCCTTGAGTGGGTCTTACCATCAGGTAATTTGAAGTTCCTTGTGATGACAGTCCAAGAAGGTGGGTATGGGCCTTTATCTGGAAAATAGAGAAATCAACTTGGTTCACAGGCTCTCCTCAAAGGAAGCTTGACTACCGCAAGCACTTCTTTAGTGTTCCGTGCTTATTTCAGCAATTTTTAGCGAGTTTGACAACCTTGTTCCTTACTGCAGAGCTGTTGGGGGAGAGTTTCTGAGCTGTAGTCCGTCAGCATGGAGATAAGATGAGAGTGGGTGTGCTCTGTAATCTCTACTTAATTACAAGTACAGAAGCAAGTACAGTGCAACTAACACTGAAGAACTTCCCTGCCAAGAATCTACCCATTGGAAGCATAGGCATTAAGTGTGAACAAGCTCCAGTCCTGTTTGAAATGGTGGGAAGAAGTAGGGTGCTGTGGGCAGTGTTCTCTTCAGGGGAGTCCTTGATTTGAAAGTTTCAGATGTGGTAGGAGATCTTATCTATAGATCCTCAAGGCAGATGTTGGAAATTTCCTCTTTCTGGGTTTTTGTCAGGATTTTAAAGAGTGTTGCTTCTCCCCTAGTGCTCCTCCTAGTGGAGGAAGAACTCTTCTTTCAGCCTTTCCTGTCACTTCTACAATCCTGACCCTATGCTATTAGAAAGCTCCAGGAAACATTGTCTTTTTTCTTAAAATAGGGACCTGGTTTTGGGGGCTCTGAGAAATGATGGGGAAGAACAAGAAGGAAAAAGGGAAGGATTTTCAAGGGAGATTTTTTAGTTATGGAACCACTTTCATTTCTGGCTTTTAGCTCTATGTGTCCACAGGAACTTGGACTCTAGCAATAAGGCAAAGAAAATGTCATACAATTAATTTATAACCATAGAACTCACTGATTGAAAGCCACTGGGCATGTGATGAAGTACTTGTTTTCTCCATGCTTGTTCTGAAATCATAAAGTAGGTCTGTCATTCAGAGTGTAATGAGAGGAACTCAGGCACATATGGTACTTCATTAGACTGGAATATATTTGAGTAATTTACAGCAAGGACAAAATATAGCCAGGGTGGCAGACATTGACAATTCGTAATAAGCATGAATAACAGAAATGTGTACCTGTACAATTAGCATATTCATTTATTGTAGGGTTTTGCCATTTGTTGAAATAAGGATTAGATGACAGTGGAAAATAGTCTGTTTTTTTTATTTAAAAAAAATTAAATGTTTGCATGATTCTAAATCAAAGCTTTTTTTAAAAAAGTTTTATTTTTATTTTTTTAAGGTTTTTTTTTTTATTTGTCAGAGAGAGAGAGACAGAGACAGCACAAACAGGGGGAGCGGTAGGCAGAAGGAGAAGCAGGCTGTCTGCTGAGCAGGAAGCCTGATGCGGGACTCGATCCCAGGAGCCTGGGATCATGACCTTAGCCAAGGTAGATGCTTAACCGGCTGAGCCACCCAGGCGCCCTTATATATACTCTTCTGTAGAAATATATATGCTCTTTGCTTATTTTCTGTAAACAATATATCCCAGTGACTAGTCATTATCTGGGTGTTTTTACAGTTACATAATATTCCATTATGTAGTTTATTCAGTCAGTTCCCTGTTGATGGTCATTTGGGTTGTTTCTAGTTCTTTTGATATTAAAGATAAGATGCAATGAATAATCTTTTGCACAAGTCATTCTGTATTTTTGCTAGCTTGTTTTTGGCCTGTATTCATAGAAGTGAAATTACTGGTTTACTTTTGCTATTTTTAATATTCTTGATATGTTCAAAATGCTTAAGAATGGGATTTCCTGTATGCTATGTTTATTCTGTAGTTGTGGAATATGGATTCGTATTTAAAAGTGGCTGATTGCAGAGGACATTTAAGTTGGGTTCATTGTGTGATGTTTTCTCCTGATGGATCATCATTTTTGACATCTTCTGATGACCAGACAATCAGGGTGAGAAATATTAAGATTTTCATTTAGACATTTGTTGATGCCTACGTCTAACAAACTAAGAAATTGATGAGCAGTATTGGGGGAATTAAAACAAGAAACTACTAGATTAATATTTATCCTTGAAAAGTGCTGTTATATGGACTATAACAGTCTCATTCATCCCATACATGTTCATTGAGTATTACCACGAGCCAGGTGCTAGATAAGTACAATGATTAAACTGTATTTTGGTTAATTTAAATATTTACTGGGTAATATATTGACTTAATTTTTGACTCTTTTCTCCACTTTAAATTTCTGTATCTAATTACTTGCCAATTGTAATGGATTCTGCCTTTCCATTTTCTGTCATTTATTTCTACTATTTATTTATTTATTTATTTATTTATTTAAGAGGGGGGAGAGAGAGAGAGGTGGGGGGCGGGGAAGAAAAGAGGGAGAGGAAGAGAGAGACTCTTAAACAGCCTCCACGCCCAGTGCAAGTCCATTGCAAGCCCATCTCACAACCCTGAGATCATGACCTGAGCTGAAATCAAGAGTCAGACACTTGGCCAACTGAGCCACCAGGTGCCCCTGTTTCTACTTTTTCATTTCAAGTTTAGGTGCTCATTACATGTTGCCTCTCTCTCTCTCTCTTTTTTTTTTTTTTTAAAGATTTTATTTATTTATTTGAGACAGAGAGAATGAGAGACAGAGCATGAGAGGGAGAAGGGTCAGAGGGAGAAGCAGACTCCCTGCCGAGCAGGGAGCCCGATGCGGGACTCGATCCCGGGACTCCAGGATCATGACCTGAGCCAAAGGCAGTCGCTTAAACAACTGAGCCACCCAGGCGCCCCGTTTTTGTTTTTGTTTTTTTTTTAAAGATTTTATTTATTTATTTGAGACAGAGAGAATGAGAGACAGAGCATGAGAGGGAGGAGGGTCAGAGGGAGAAGCAGACTCCCCACTGAGCAGGGAGCCCGTCTCTCTCTTTTTTTTTAAGATTTTATTATTTTTGAGTAATCTCTGCGCCCAACATGGGGCTCGAACTCACAGTCCAGAGATCCAGAGCCACACACTGTACTGACTGAGCCAGCTAGGCGCCTCAGCATGTTCCCTCTCTTAATGTATTAGTCTTTGCCACAGTCTTTTCTTTTTTGGTTTTCTACATGCTACTTCTAAGATATTGTCTTCGTGTACAATATAGTCATGTCATTTTTGCTCAAAAACAGATAGGGTTCCCTTGTCTACTAAAAATAAGTAGGTACTCCTAAATTTACACTGAACTTTTCCACAGTATGGCCTCATTCTGGCTTCAGTCTTTCTTTTGGTTTATTCCTACAGGTAGCCTACAATGGACTGCTCACATTTTCCCAATACCCTGTAGTTCCCTGCTTCTTTTGCTTATGTGGTCTCTTATGTTTGGAATACCCTGTTTCCCTGTCTCTCTTCTTGTTGAAATGTTAACAATCCTACAAGTTCCCCCAAGTCTTCTGCAAAGCTCTTCCTAGTATTCCATTTGGGGGAATGTCTCTCTTCTTTAATGTCATATAACTCTGTGTCCTTTTCTTATGGTACTTACCAAATTCTACTTTGAATTTAAGTACAGATTTGCTTTACTTCTCACCTTCAGTACTCCACTGCTCCTCCGGCTTGTTCACACGTCTTCAATTGTAAGGTCTGTGAGGCCAGGGACCCGAGTTTATCCCTGTGGCATCTAATATAGTGTTTTATACACAATGTAACTACAGTTTTTTTAGTATTTACTGTATGCTAGACATTGTGCGAAGTACTGTACTTATGTTTTCTAATTCTCACAGCAGTCCTTTTTGCAGCTGAGGAAACAGTCACAGGAAGGTTATGTCACTTCTGCTTAAAGTGCCAGTCTCAATAAATGAACCAGAATGTAATTCATCTCACTGCTTCCTTCATCAAGAAAGTCTTGTTAAAAAAAGATGAATCATATCACTAAGCATACGGCTTATAGTTTGTTAGTGATATAGTTGATTTACATTCTGGTACAGACTCCTTATCTTGGCATCAGACAGTTTGAGGACTAGTGGGAGTTCTTACTTTGAATAACACTGGGTTAAGTAACCTGCCCAAAGTCACAACTTTAGGTGGAACTAGAGTTCATACTTGGGCATTTTGGCTCTAGCACCCATTACTCTTAATACTAACTACTACTCATTATAGCATGTAATTAACAAATATTTGTTGTTGAATTATAATCTAATAATTGAAAATTTTTAGCATCATAGGTATTTTGAGTATGAAGCATGTTTTGTATCTTGCTTTAAGACTCTAAGCCTTCTCTTTACATATTTCAGGATATGGTTATCTTATTTTAGTTTTTTTAATCTCTTAATTAGCTCTGGGAGACAAAAAAAGTATGTAAGAATTCTGCTATTGTGTTAAAGCAAGAAATAGATGTTGTGTTTCAAGAAAATGAAGTGACGGTTCTTGCAGTTGACAATATAAAACGTCTGCAGGTGAGTATTTTTTAGAAAACAATGGGAAAAATTGTTTTGATTGAACTCACCATTCACATTTTCTTGTTTGAACTTGGGATCAGGCATAATTGTGTAGTATCTAACAGGTGCTCAGTAGGCATCAGTTGAATAAATATGTGGGTTTTGAGCTGAGGTCCAAATATGCTTGTATTTAGAAGTAAAAAAAGTGATACCTTGTCTCACTTCATTCCTCTCCTGTTGGTGTCTATGATCACATTCCTTGATTTGAATAGAGTCCAGGAGGAGAACTTGAGACAGACTGAGGGCAGGACAAAGCTTAACAAGCTCTAAAGCTGTAAAGCTCAGCTTGATGTGGTGGAAAGAACAGTGTCTGTTCACTCAGGAGGTACAGGTACAGCTTAAGCTTTACTGTCAGCTCGTTTTATATGATGTTTGAGTAAATTGTACACTTCTCTGAGCCTCACTTTCTTCACCTGTAAGGTCCTTTCTATGTTCAGCAGTCTGAGCTGGTTATAGGGTGAAGGTGGAATCCAAATTCTGGAGAAAGATATGTGGAAGTAAACGGTCTATGGCGTGTGGTTATTTCTCCTTGTCTACTGTCAGGGGTCAGAGTCAAGGTGTGAGACACCCCTTGTTCTGTATTTTACACGTTGTACTATCGTCTTTAGTATGTTGATGTCGAGCTCCTAATGCCCTGTGTTTCTGGGATGAATTGGGATATGGAATTGAATGTTAATGCCTTGTTACTGATTTTTAGCAGACTTGGGATATTTTTCATTGCAGCTTTCTTGTCAAGTTCAGTGTCCTCATGCTTGTATTACCTTTATTAAATTTGTGCAACCTTTCTTTAATAGTTGTTGTAACTGTGAGACTTCAAAAAGAAGTCTTCTGACTATAAAAGTGTCATTCTATATCAATGATTGTAGGAGAGTTTAGGGGATAGTTATAAACTTGACAATAGTTCCATTTAAGTGAACAAAACATTTTTTAGTCACTACTTAGGAAAATATGGAAATTGATTTTTGAGAGAAAGAAGATAAATTCAGCTTTTAGCAGTTCAGTCTTCATTTTGAATGTCTAATAGATCAGAATCTGCTGGGTAAGATATTGTAAAATAAAGCGTACCTTGATTGATACCCTATAATCTTTGTACCTGAAACAGATATGACTTCTTATTTCATGTTGAAAAATGATTTAAGACTTTTAGATTGTAACAGAGAGAGGTAGCTGACAATTGATTTAAGCTTGAGATGTAGTTTCCTGGGTCACATGTTTTAATCGAGTGATGAGACAACTTTACTAATGAAACGTAAAAAAATAATTATTAGCATTGGTACATATTATGAAATTAGGTAATCTTAGTTTAAGCATTAAAAGTCCAGTCACCCAAATTATGCTTATGGGTTCTTCTCCAGAACTCCCTTCTCCCCCACTCAAAAAGATAAAGAATTTTAATTTATACTGTTTTGTGAGCGATTTAGAGGATATAAAACCCATTTTTATTTGAATATGGCTTTTTATGTATCCTCAGTCCCGTTTCACTAGCCCCCTTGAAAAATATCCGAAAAGTGTACTTTAACAAACGATAGCCCTATTAAAATGGGCTTTGTGAAGAAATGGAAAGCTGGGTGCGGAGCTAGCTGTGGGATTATAAATCAGACAGATGTGTCTCAGGTGGTGGGCACAGTAGCTGCTTTTTAAACCTTTTAAAGCTCATTTTATTTTATGAAAATGTATTTGAACCACAAAAGTGAAATGAAATGAAGGCGTGAAGTGCTAAATGCAGCTGCTGAGACTAAGATAGGGCTTTGTTGTTCCCCTGGGAGCTCTTGTTGGTTATTTTCTGTTTCATTTTATTTTTTCAATTGAAGTCTGTTCTAAAGAACAGAAATTGCTCTTGTAGCCTAATAACTGATTGTGCCTTATTTTTCATTAGCTCATTAATGGAAAAACAGGTCAGATTGATTATCTGACTGAAGCTCAAGTTAGTTGCTGTTGCCTAAGTCCACATCTTCAGTACATTGCATTTGGAGGTGAAGATGGAGCCATTGAGGTATTCCATTCTAGTCTTCAGAGTCCTTCTGTGCAGAAGAGTTATTTATTTAAAATTAATTATGTTGTCTGGTATTTTAGCTTATACTAAAGAAATCTTTCTGTGGTATATTATTCATTCTTCTGTTAGACTAAAATTAATCTTACAATCCTGTTGGTGGTGTATTTTTCAAATTGCCTTTACTACTGTTTCTCAGACTTTTTGTCTTTTTGTGTTCTTATTCTCTACCTAGTTGTTTTGCTGTTCTCCAAGTGTATCAAACACTCTCAGAGATTTAGCTATCTATGCAAAGAGCACTATTTTCTCTCCTTAGCCTTTGGTGTAAGTTTCCATTTTGGTACTGATAAGGTTCATTGGGAATGTCTGTGCAGGATTGCCTTATGCTTACCTGTTTCACCAACCCTTTCTGTTCTACTTTTGGTATTAGAAGTATACCTTTTTACCACTTGAAATCCTTAACTTATTAAAGAAGACCAAATAAATGTTAACAATGTAATAAAAATGATTTTATCACAAAAGCACTTTGTTTTTAGCTGTACAATAGTTTTTCAAAGAACGTTGGTTCCTTCTCTCACTTTTTCTCACCCAAACTTTTTGGAATTATTTCTTAATTTATTAATTGTGGCACTAGCCACATTTATTTTACAAGGAAATACACAAATATTCTCTAGTCTATATTGCTCCACAAAGAGGAGACTATATGTTTATATACAAAGTGAAGAAGGAAGCATTTAGAAAGTGATGTCAATGTTATTATATATTTGGGCGTTGTGGCATGGGTTCAGAGTTAAGGTTTTGTGTTTTGTTTTGTTTTTTTCATTGTGAAAAATTGTGAAGTTGGGTGCTGTTCTGAAGAAAAGTATATTATGGATTTTTTTAAGCAAGGGATGGTTATACATTTACGAGTGAACCTTAGTCTTCCCTCTCAATCTCATCTCTCAAACTGGTGTATATTATTATTGATTCTTAAAGGATCTTTGCTTCCCCCTTTTCTTTTTACCTTGTTGCCAAAACAGGTCTACATTCTTTTTGTTTTTACTAAGTGTTTTGAAATGGGCCATACAGATAGTTTAAGGAAATAATTCACAAAACACACATGTGCCTCATCCATATCCCTGTCCTCCTCAAAGTCATCAAATGATATAAATACTATATAAATGAATCATATGAGATTACCAGTATTTGACTCTGTATCATCTGTAAAATGGCATTTTCATGTGGTTGGGCCTAGTATCAAATAATGACAGCTACCATTTTTGGGTGTTTATCAGTTTCTCTCATGGAATTATTTTAACACCCTGGATGTTAGGTGTTGTTACTCCTGTTTTACAGATGTCTAAACTCCTAGTTTCCACAACTTTCATTAAGTCAGTAAGTGGCAGAGCTACAAATCAAACCCTGGGTCTCTGAGCCACTGTGCTCAAGTAGGATGCTAGCCTGCCTTTGCCCTGTAGCAGTTGTAAGATTGTCCTGCTCAATGGGGAAGACTCTCACTCATTTCCCTTTGCTTTCTAAAGGGCCTTTTATTAGACATGCAGGTTAGGTTTGAATTTCTACAATGTCCTATTTTAGCATCATTTGTATTTTCCTTAGGCTTCCTTGAGTACATTTAATTTGGGCAAAAGAACTTTTTTTGTTTTGTTTTGGTGAGTTCACTTGAAAGCCTTTTTGACATAGTCATTAGTTTTTGAGTTCTGTTACCACTTTCTTAATCTCTGCATTTGGCATATTAGTCTTTATTTTAATTAATTAATTAATGTATGTACGTATTTGACAGAGAGAGACACAGTGAGAGAGGGAACACAAGCAGGGGGAGGGGGGAGAGGGAGAAACAGGCTTCCTGCGGAGCAGGGAGCCCGATATGGGGCTTGATCCCAGGACCCTGGGATCATGATCTGAGCTGAAGGCAGATGCTTAACGACTGAGCCACCCAGGCACTCCCCCCCACCTGGCATATTAGTCTTTAGCCCTTATAAGTATTCTCAGTGTACCTCCCCAGCCTATTCATATCTTCTTTTCTGTTACCTGTTTCCCTCATTACCCCCTATCTTTCCTTGTCTGTGTTGTTTTATAAAGAGCTTGCCTTGTCTCTCATCCAGAATTTTTTTCTTTCTTCTCTCTCATCCATCTTAAATGTCATTTCCTTTTTGGAGGCTGAGTCCAGGCTGCCACTTGTTTGATGAATTGGGTAGTTGAGTTCTCAGAAGGACCACTGGTTCCTACTGCTATCTGGTCATTCCAGTGAGTGTTTTATTTTAGCGTGTGTATGTGTGTGTGTGTGCATACACTTGTGTGTATGTATGTACCATTCATTTGTGTGTCTTTAATTAAAATGAAAGCACTATGAGATGAAAATTTTATACCCTTCTGTAGTCTAATTTTAATTTAATGTCTTTGGGGTGTAATGCCTGGGTGTTGCTGAATTTCTTGGTACTAATTTTCTGTGCTTTTCTATTTTGAAGATTTTAGAGCTCCTAAACAACAGAATCTTCCAATCCAGGATTGGGCACAAGAAAATTGTGCGGCACATCCAGTTCACAGATGATGGGAAGACTCTTATTTCAAGCTCTGATGATTCTTCAATTCAGGTGAGGGGAAGGATTAACTTCCAACATCTGTAATGCTGACTCTAGCAAGGAACACTTTGGTTGTGGCTCAAATCTGGTGTGCATTTTAAACATTTCTTTAAGATCCTATTACTTTGGCCATACATTCAGATTATGCACATAGATTTAGATGAAACCCATACATGTTTCATATTTTTCTGTGGGTGAGGCAGACAATTTGACTTGTGAACGAACCCTCTACTGGAAGGTTGTTTATTTTGAAGATCAAGGAATCATTTGAGTTCCCCTGCCTGCCTTGGTATTTGGATTTGTATCAGTAAATACACTTTTTTGCCAAATTTATATGATTTCTCTTTACTTTTCTTGATAGTAGTAAAATCTGATTGAAATAATTTTTTTTTTTTTTTTTTAAGAGAGAGCGAGAGTGCATGCATGCTAGCAGGGCAGGGGCAAAAGGGGTGGGAGAGAGAGAATCCCAAGCAGGCTCCACACTGAGCACAGAGCCCATCTCAGCGCTTGATCTCATGATCCTGAGATCATGACCTGAGCCAAAATCAAGAGTCAGACGCTTAACCGACTGAGACCCCCAGGGGCCCCGCTGATTGAAGTAATTTTATTCTTTTAAGGATAAGATGTTAATTATAGGGATGAAATCTGTGAAAAAAGAATAGTTTGTCATAATGAAGGATTATGGATATAGAGGCATTAAGCCTACTGTATGTTCTTTAAAAATTAACTTTGTTTTTATCAAAGTTCCAATGCACATACTTTTAAAACTTAGGTAGTATTACAAAGCTCATTATGGAAAATAGACCCCCCCCATTACTCATTCTCCAGAAGCACTAGCTTTTAGCTTCTAGATATTTCTTTTGATATTTACCTTCATGCCCCCATATCCCATGCTTATAGTGTTACCAATTTCTATGTTTGAAAATTTACTAAAAATTAAGATGAACATATTAAGATGAAAATTTAGCTTTTTTTCTTTTCCCACCTGTGTTACCTTTGACATACGCACACACCCTTTTATCAATCCCATTATCCTAATACAATTATAATAAAATTTTGTTTAGGTCATTAGTGTCATTATAACTAAGTAGACTAAGTATACTATGAATGTGTTTTCTGCCTTAATGCAGTTTAGGACAGTTCTACCCTTGACTGGATGTGGTTTGCAATTATTTTACCCTAAAACTTTGAAGACTTTGTTCCATTTTCTCCCAAGGTTCCAAAGCTCATATTGAGAAGTCTGAAGCCATTCTGATTCCTAATCTTTTTCTCTGGAAGATTTTAGGATCTTCTCTTTATTCCTAGAATTTTGAAATTTCATGATGTTGTATCTTGGTGTGTATTTGTTTTATCCATTGTTTTAGACATTCGTGATCCCTTCTCAGTTTGGAAACATAACATTTTTCAATTCAAATAAACTTGAATTTTTTTCTTTGCTCCCTCTCCATCCCAGTATGCTTTCTTTTTCTGTGAAAACCATTATTCAGATATTGGATCTCCTGGACTTTTCATGTAATTTCCTTTTTCTACATTTCATAATTTTATTTTTATTTATTTA